GGCACGCGCGTCTCCGACGCCGCCGCAGAGGCGGTGGCCGCGGTGGCGGCAGCCAGGGCGGCGCGCGGCGGCAGCCTGGAGAAGGGCAGCGCCGACGGCGGCAGCGGGCCTGTTCCGGCGTGGGCGGCCTCGGAGGACGGCAGCGCGGCGGGGTCGGCGGGCGGGCGGCCGCAGCTGGCGCCCATGCGGCTGGGCTCGCCCCCCAGATGAAGCCGCCCCCATGCTCCCAGCGATGACGACTTGCGCCGCTCCTGGGGAGCCCCTCCACCGCCGGCACCCCAGGCACAGGCACTGCGGTACCAGGCGTGCCGCGCCCCTCCAGCTGTACACAAACCGCAGGCGCCTGGCCCGAGGCCGCGGCGTCGAGCCCCGCACAGTGACCAGCCGACCTCGACAGATCCAGACTGCCTCCTGCTCAATCAACCATTGCGCACTGACAGCATTGACGCACTTCACTCAACTCCCCTCTCCCAGCCGCACACGCTTCCTGACAATCTGCCCGCATGCCACCCCAGTTGTAAACTGCTGCTGCATTGGCGGGTGCATAGTAGGGTAGGCAGGCAGGCAGGGGGCGGGTGTGGTGGGCACGAGGCGCAGCAAGGCTTTGGCTGTAGCGGCCTCAGCCCCTGGATCAAAACCTGCACCCCTCAGGGCTGCAGCGCCGCCAGCCTGCGCCGAGCCTCCGCCTCCCACGCCCGCTTGGCCGCCAGCTGCCGCCCCAGCTTGCGCAGCTCGAGCTCCGCCACCACCACATGCTGCCGCAGCTCGGCCTCCCGCCCCTCGGCCTGCAGGCGGGCAGGCACACGCATGGGGAACCCGAGTTAAGTGCAGGCACGCCGCCGCTGGATCCTGCCGTCGCAAAGGGACAGTGACGGGCAGACGCATGGCAAAGGAATGGAATGGCTGCTGCAGAGGCTGAATTGAAGCCTTCCCCGGCGGCGGCGGCAGCCCACATCTTGCGGGGTTTGGCCTGTCACCACACCGTGCGCCTGCTGCACCGCCACCGGCAGCCAGTATCGCTGGGACAGCACGGCGGCCGAGGCCTGCTGCCTGCAGGCAGGGAGCCAGGCAGGCACCGCTGTCGGCAGGGCTGCGGCACTGCTCCAACCTAGCTAGAAAACGTCACAGCTCCCACAACCCCACCCCCACCACACCACACACACACACACACACACACACACACACACACACAAGGCAACTCAGCCCCGCCCACCTGGCCCGCTGCACTGCTACCAGCTGCGCCTGCAGCAGCGGCAGCTCCCGCTGCTCCCTGGCCAGTGCCGCCTCCAGCCGGTGCACCTCCTGCCGCACCACCGCCAGCGCGCTGTCAGCCTTGAGCCGGCGCGCCTGCCGCCTGAGCCGCTGCCGCCGGCCCTGCTCCACAAACCTGAGGCGGGGAGGCGGCGGGGAGGCAAGGATCAGGTGCAGCCGGGCTGGTGGCGAGGTGCTGCGGTGCACGCACATGCAGGCGCCAAACGGGCAGAAACCAGGGAGGCAGGCCAAAGGCTGGTGTTCTCACTGGGCCTTGAACCGCTCCCGCCAGTCAATGCCGACGCCATCGGAAGTCACAGCAGCAGCTGCAGAGGGCCGCTCGCCCGCCTCTGGCTTCCGCTTGTAGCCGCTGCCGGAGGGCCACGCTATTCCACCTGCCGCCGGCGCCGCTGCTGCAACGGCTTCACTGGCGCTGGATGGCCGGGGCGGTGGCTCCCCCTGCTGCTGCTGACCATGCTGCCGTTGGATGAACCCATGCGGGTAGAACGCTGCTGTGTGCTGGCTGCTGGTGCCAGCCGCCGCTGCTGCGGCGGGCTCGGCAGCTTTAGCCGGGCCGCCGGTTTGGACGCCTTCTGTGCCGCCACCGCCGCTAGTCAGAAAGGTGCTGCGATACAGGTTTTCCCACAAGCTCGGCGCTGCTGCGGCTCTTAACAACCTCTTGCAAACGCGCTGCACGCGACACAGGTCCTCCAGCGGCAGGAACCGCAGAACCGACAGCAGCAGCTCTTCCGGCAGGTCGCCCCAGGCGGAATCCATGGTGGTGTGCGAAAATCGCTGCCGGGGCTGCACGTCCGAGCCTACTTCCTTAGGCCCGGTGCTGGCTGAGTGGTGCTCGCCAGGCGCAGCCCGCCGACCGCTCCCCCGACCACGGTCTGATGACTTTGCTGGGTCCAACAGACGAGTAAACGTGCCTTTGCACCACAAGTAGGTATTGCAATGGAATCAAAGAATCAAGCGGGAGAGGAAGGGCGCAAGCGAGAGGCGGGGGGACGAGGGGAGGAAGGGGGGGAGCAGACACCTCAGGGATGCAGTCAGTGCACGGGAAATAAAGGTCAGGGGTCAGGTCAGCTGCCGACGCAACATGCGCCGGCTGCGGCTCGCGAGCCGGTCGGTCAACCGAGCGCGTGTCGTTCCCAGCTCCGCGCCTTACTGCCCTGGTGCGTCCTCTTGGGCGGCAAGCTTTCACAGTCGCGCCTGCTTCAGCTCAGGCGTGGGCGAGGCGGAGGCGGTGCGCAGGCACATGAAGGCCTCTGGCCCGCACAAGCTCATCTCCAGCAGGGTCAGCAGGTCGGCGTATCGCTGGGGCTGCCCCACACAGTAATACCTGCACCAATGGAGAACGGCAGAACCTCAGAACCTCAGACGTTAACTCAAATGTTAAGAGAACCTAAGATACTAATAAGATAGATACTTATAAGGGTCGCTGGAGCACAGCGGCATGGGCCGCCAAGCCTCACCAGGTGGCGTGCAGCGCCATGGGCACGCCGGGCAGCATCAGCATGGGCGCCCCGCCCGCGCCCCACCCCCCGCCTCTGCCTCTATGTCGTCGCACGGCACCTCCACGCAGAGCTGGTAGGCCTGCTGGCGCGGCGGCAGCTGGTACCCGGGCAGCGCCTCCATGAGCTCCGAGTAGAAGAAGTCCTCCTGCGGGGGCGCATGGGGTGGGTCTGCGAGTGTGGCTGTGCAAGGGCGCAAGGTGAGGCTGTGGGGGCCTGTATCGCTTGGGCTGTGGGCGAGAGGAAGGAGCCATGAAGACGAGGGTGGGTGCCACCACGAGACGAGCCCGCCCAGCTCCTGCATCCCTCTGGCGCCCCGCGCCGCGCTGGCTGGCAGCCCTGGGGCCGGCCTGCTGCGCGTCGTGGCGGCCGCCAGCTCACCCACATCCCGCCCCTCCCCCCTCACACACACCTGCAGGGGCGCAGAACAGCAGCGGGCAGGCAGCTGCCGTCAGCAGCTGCCAGTACAGCACGGGATGCCGACGCTGGCACGACACACCCAGCGCAGCCGCAGGCCCCTCTCAGCCTCCACACCCATTGCTGCTGCGGCATTGGCAAGGCCAGGCAGCCGCACGTGCTGCTGCTCCGCACCTCTACCGGCGGGTGCAGGACCACCACCTTGGGAGCCGCGTTCCACACCCGCAGCGCATTCTCGATGTGCGGTCCCGCAAACTCGTGGTACCACCTGCAACCGGCCAGGCAGGCAGGCAGGCAGGCAGGCGGGCAGGCAGGCGGGCAGGCAGGCAGGCGGCACAGAGTCGGAGGTCGGCCGGCTGGCACAGCGCGCCCAGCGCTGCGCCCAGCGCCTCTGCCTTCTCACTCCACCAGACCAGCCTTCCAGCTCCACTCAGCCCTGCTGCGCCTGACCCAGTCCCACGCAGCACCGGTGGTACCACTTCCCTTCCCTCCCCCCCACACCCCCCATCCCACACACACCCTCACACTCCCCGCTCACCTGTCGGTGTACTCGCTGTTGAGAAGGACGTAGTCGTAGGAGGCAAAGGCCTTGGTGGTGCAAGGGCGGGGCGGGCGCACCAGGTCAAAGGGGAACTGGCACATGTAGAGGCTGACGTGGCTCAGCCCCGCCGATGTGCTTGCCCAGAGACAGCAAGACGGAGTACTCGGTGAGGGTGGTGGTGGGGGACTGGGGAGGCAGGGGACAAAGGGAGGAAGCGGGCAGGGCAGGGAGGGCAAGGGAGAGGGTGGGTGGCGGGAAGTTAGCGCGACGCTGCGGCCCGGCAGCGGCAGAAAGGCGGAGCGGCGGCGGCGGCGGCACGCGCGCTGCCGTGCCCGGCCGGACAGCCCGCCGCCGCTTCGCGCTCCGCAGCCCAGCGGTCCCCGCCCGGGCGGGCCCCGCCGCGAGGCGCACCTGTAAGTGGATGCCCTGGGCGCCCACCACGTGTATGCTGAGCAGGTCTGGGTTGAGGGCCACCCTCAGCCCTGCCGCCACCTTGAGCAGCTGCTGCTTGGTCTGGCACACGTTGCGGCGGAACACCAGCACATCCACGTTGTACTTCATGTCCTGCGGTACACGTGGGCGGTACGTGTGCCGGTACATGACGTGGCGCGCACGCGTGGCGGAGGCGGAGGCAGGCGGGCGCAGCAGGTGGTGGGCGCTGACGAGGGGCACACGCACCAGCGCAGCAGCCCCGCAGATGAATGGCCTGCAGGCTGCGGGCGGGCGGCGGCATGCAGGCTGCATGTCCAGACCTGCGCAGGCTGCGGCGCTAGCGCGCTGCCGGGCGGGTGCCGCTACCTGGAGCACCGCCACCACATACCGCAGGTACCGCTCGCCGCCGCCAAGCACCTGCAGGTGGGTGAGAGTGGCCGGGGTGGGTGGGGGTCCCCGCATCGCCATGGGTATTGGATGCACAAACCAAAACACACAAAACCAGGAGAGAGGCAGCGCATGGAACATGACACATGGCAAACCAGCCACAATAATGTGTCACTACCCCAAGGTTGAATGCGTGGCTGGGTGTCTAAGGCGGAGAAACCCCAGGGGTCATACCAAGAACCAGCAATTCATGAGTTGGATGTTGGGAAGTGTCTGCTTATGCGGCCTGTCATAGCTGGGTGACTGTAACACAGGTTGTGACTGTTACACATTGCACGCCACGTGTTCAAGCAGCCAGCACATCTGCAAAAAGACAGAGCCATGACAATCAAAGTTACTGAAAGAGGCCAGGGCAACCACTGGTGCTGCAAGACACGTGCCCAACTCACGATAAGCAGCGGTGAAGCGTTTGGCTCTGACAGTCCGAGCCTGGGCCCTGGTCCTGTAGATGGCGCAGCCCGAGGGCCCCACATGGAACCTCAGGCAGCCGGTGGTGATGCGGCACTGCTTGCAGCAACCAGCGTAGGTCGTCACGCCCGGCACCCGCAGGGCGGGCTTGTCGGTGAAGCGAGCCCCTCTCCGGGGCGCCCCACACTTGCGCTTGTGGCACTTCCCGCGGGCCGCTGCATGGAGGTGGCATGCAGCGCGGTGTGGCGCTGGGCGCAATGGCATGTGGCCAGAGAAATGTAAGTGCGGATGCCCTTGATGCTGCTGCAATGATGCCAATGCCAGACGGCGACCCAACCTACCAGACGCAACAAACGGCAGGGAGGCATCGGCGGCGCGCGACTCGGCAAGTAACGGGCAGGTCTGGCACCTGCAGAGGTAATAATACATGGTTGTAGAATGTGTGGTTGGTAACGGGCTGCGGAGAAAGGTGCGCGTGTGTGTGCTGGGTACAATGAATTGGCCCCAGAAAGGCATGCGGTGCACAGCCAGGACACTATGCCCAGGCCCAGTGCCCTGCCACCAGCAGGTCGTGCGTGCCTGACTTTCCACCCTGCAACAACGACAATACATATCAACACCCATTCAGAGGCGGCAGCATGGAGCGCCCGCGCGGGCCTTTGTTAAACACCGACAGGCTGCTTGCTGCTGAGAGCCCACCGTAGGCATCCCAACACCTACAGCAGTAGGGACACATCGAAACGCGGCCAGTCAGCTACTCAGCCACCCGGCGAACACAGAGCACTGTGCAGCCAGACGCGGGAACACTTACTTGGCGCCATCGCCCCTCTTGTCACGGTCGTACACGTACTGGCCGACATCGCACTCGCCTGCATGCACGGTGTGAAGCCGGAGAGGGTGGAGCTGTACCTGGGTTATCAAGACCAAGACCTGTGGCCCAGGCTGGCACCAAAGCTTGACGGCACGCGGCAGCACTCACCCTCACACATCCAGGCATCGCCCTGCCAGTAGCTAGGTGTGTTGCACCCGCGGATATCATAGATAGGCGATGCACACTTCTGCACATTGACAGCGGAGGGTAACATGGCGGAAGTGGTGGCCCCGGCAGCGGCATACAAAGGAAGATCAAAGCGCCTGAACAGAGCATCAGATGGCGCATCACCTCGCACAAGAACTTGTAGCCATAACCATCTACACTGCATGCTTTGCCGTCGCCATATGTGTCTGTGGCCACCACCGTCTCGCCCTTTTCGCAGGTGTCGTAGCAGCTGGGTGCGGTGCCCCTCCTGTGTGGGCCACACAAAGAGGAGGCTTGTGCTAGCTGGTTGCTGCAGAAAGCATCACATATCTCCAAGGCTGTGGGTGCACACTTCCAGTGCAGCAGCAACATGGAGCAAACTGGGCCTGGCGTCGCCCCGCCGCATAAGCAAGCCAACATGCCGCTCCACTCACCAGGTGTATGTGCAGCCGTTGCACTCCTTGCGACCGCACAACTTGCACAGCACTTTGGCTCCCGCATTGCATGCATCGCCATAATGGATGTAGGGCGCTTCATCGCGGACCGTTGGTTGTAGTGTGTCGGTGCCTCTGGCCACAGCAGTCCAGCTGGAGGGGCACCGCCCCTTGCACCACGTCGCTGTGCCAAACCTGCAGGTTGCCGGGACGCACAAGGCAGGTTCAACGGGTATGGCATGGTCAGCGCGTGTCCGCCCGCTTGGGTGTAGATGGCGGCTGCTGGGCTGCTCCAGCTCGCGCACTCACCACTTGAGTACACATTGGTCGAGACCCGGCTGGCAGAGGGAACAATACTGCATGTCAAAAGCAGCGCGGTCGCCATAATCGTAGCGCAGGCTGACGGAACGGCTCCACTCCCAGCCCGACCCGAGACCAGGGCAGCCCAAGCGCTTGGCGTGGTCAACCTACAGCAAGAGACGGCAAGAGAGGATCGGGTGCAGTTGGGTGGGAACTGATTCCACTGCGGCCCGCGCCGCCAGCAGAGCTGCATGTGTGTAGAGGGCAAGCCTTTGCAGCACAGAGTGAGGACGTGGGTGCACAGGCCGTGCGGTGTTTGCGAGCGTCAAGAGCGCCACACGAAGCAGGGCACCTGCTGGTCCAATGTCCAGCCCAACAGCGAGGAGTACTGTAGCGGCAGCTCTGTGCAACCTCCTGGGGCGCGGAACGGAAGGTAGTCATGAGCACCGTGGAAGATGTTTGAATTGCCTGGCACAGTTTGACTGGAACACGGTAGCACAAAGCGCGACATCAACGCCAGGAGCACGACGTGCATTGCGCAGTGCCGCGGCGGCGGCGCCAGGCGGTGGCAAGGCGGCAGCATGGCTCCGATGCCGGCTCCGCCTGCGGCGCAGGGGCATGCAGCACTCGGTTGGTCCCAGCATGTTGGGCTAGGGGGAGAGCCAACATCTTGCAGGCTGGGTGGGTAGAGCTCTGCCAGCCACGCCTGCCCGCATCCCTCACGGCTTCCCGCGAACCTGTTTGAGCTTGCAAAATTCTGTGGCGCAGAGGCTCCGTCGCCGCTGCCTTGAACTACCTCGATTTGGTCGCGGCCCTGCCAGTTGGCTCCAGGATCGATCCGGAAGACTCACATTGAACATTCCACTTGGCAGCCAGCGCCGTTCAACCACGAGATCGCACGTCATTCTGCACGCGCGCAGAAAGTGCAGGGGCTGCAAGTAGTGGGGGAGGCCGCGCGGCCTCCTCCAGGCAAAGGCGCCGAGCAGCATGCTGTTGCATGTGCTCAGAGCAGGCAGGCCCACCCCAGCCCCTACCCGGACCCATGCATGCATATGCCGCACAAACCTACACGAGAAATGTGAGATACAGCGGTTGGGTGCACACACAGAACGGCGGCAACGAGGCGGGGTAGGGGCGGGGGAACCGTGTTTGGCCAGCATCGTGTTGGAGCTGCGGGATTCGGGGCGGGAGAGACGCGCCGCGCGGCGCTTGAAGAAGAAGGCTTGGGGATCTGTCTTGGCCATCTGCTCCAGATTCTTGTTGCGGAGTGCCTGGCACTTGTGACACACCTGCGGCGAGGAGCTGTGGGGCCAGCAGAGGGGTCAGCAGATTTCTAAAGCCGCCTTTGCAGCCACCTGCTATGGCTGTCAGTCACCGCACGCTTCCTCCCTAGGGACCCTCACTCGAATACATTGCCCTGCCCGCTTTCCTCCTCCCTAACCACAAATGCTTTACAACTGGCAACTATGTCTGCCCGCTTACTCACTGATCGACCGGTGTCCTATCAGCTGGCCTGCATTGACTGTTGCTGTCTTGCTGCATCCCTGTGTTACAGTCACCCCGCTAGGATAGGCCGTGTGAGCAGACCTTGGGCAGGGGGCCCACGTGATCAAGGTGATCCCTCATAAACGCTCTGCACCTTAGGCATGTGCAAACTCGTTCTTGTTGTAACTGTACAGTAAGCCCCGAAAAGTACTGTAAGACCCCAGAAGTGCTTTAATCCCTCCCTTTCTTGCGAGCTCCCGAAAAGCGAAAAGCAAAGAGCCGACCCCAAATGCGCCACGGGATTCTCCTGAAAGTCCATAGGATTCGCTTGCAAGAGAACCACGCAGTCCTGCCGCCGTTGTCTGCACCCAAGTAGTTCTCTCGCGGCCCAACCATACTGGCACCAGGTTGAGAGGGTTCATTCATTCATTCAGCACACAGACCGGCCGCCTCTTGCTCGAGGGCGGCCCACTTTGGCCTGGGCAGCCCGGGCCGCCCTCCCCCCCGGGCGCATGTTCGGTGTTGGAGGGGTGCGCCCAGCGATAGGGGGCCCCTGAAGGCATGCGCCGAGGCCGGGAAGCGTGGTTCGGCGCTGCTGCACGCTTGGCGACTTGAACAGAACCGCGTGCCGCCGAGCTGCGGCCGCAGTTTCCGGCCCACAGTCTACGGCCGCAGCCACGGGACTCGGCGGCACGGCGTTTGGGCCCAAGCTTGCTGCCGCCGCCGCCGTGCCCGGGGGCAGCGCGGCGGCGGCGGCGGCACGCTGCGACGCCCCCGAGCCACCGAGCTGCGGCCGTAGCTTCCTGCCAGAAGCCCACGGCCACAG